TGTGTCGGCTGCATGATTGAGCTCGCCCGGAATGTGAATGGCGACCTGAGTTGCTTTTTGTAGCAAAGTCCGTTACAGCCCATGCCTGGTCCTCTCTCATCCTTCACTGTCGTCGCTCCTCCTTTTATGCTTCCGCTCCTCCGTGAGAGATACGAGACCGGTGTATCGCGCAGGTGTCGCTAATCATCAATCACGCCACCGTTCCATTCTCTCACGGCCCTCAGCCTCGTTCTGCTCGCCACGAACCCCAATCGCCCCTCGCAGGCCTGGGGGTACTCCAGATACTGCACTCCTCCGGGGGGACCAGTCACAGTGGCATCTGGGGTAAGGCGAGAGAAAAGGAGACAGAAGCATGAGGAGCGACAGAGACGAGAGAGGGAAAAAAAACACTGCAAGCTAGCTCTCCATCCTACTTGCTGTTCAATTGCTCCAGCAACACCACCTCAGGCAGCCATCAACATCACCGCTCCTTTGCTGCCCGACCTCCTCAGCACCACGATCTCCCTCAGCAGCGAGGGCTCTCCGACAGCGTGTCCCTCCTTCCTCCCGGGTTTCGGCACCAATGTAGCAAAGTTCGCTGTTGTAATCGGGAGGAGGAGGCGGGAACCGGTGAACATTTAAAGACTTTAAATAACAAAATAAAACAAATACAAAATGAAAATAAAGACTGCAGCCCCTCACGGACGACTGCTGCCACATATAAACAAAACATAAAATAAAACAGCCCAGGCCTGGTCCTGTCTCGTCCTCCACTGTCGTCGCTCCTCTTTTTATGCTTCCGCTCCTCCGTGAGAGACACAAGACCGGTGCGTCGCCCAGGTGTCTCTCATCATCAATCACGCCACCAGCCTTGCGCCGTTCTCTCACGGCCCTCGTCCTGCTTGCCACACTTCTGACTCTAGAGGAGATGATGGCAGGCGAGTTGCGACATGATGTACGCAACACTCGACGTGTTGTCCGTTCGGACAAGTACTGCTAGCAGTTCAAGGCAATTGATATGCCACTGCAGTCGAGGTCCTGTCCAGGAGCCCGAGGCTGCATGCCCATTGCATACAGCACCCCAGCCGGTCTCATATGAAGCAATCCGAGCGGCCATGGATGTCATATGCCCCAGAAGCCTCTGAAATACTTTCAGTGGAACAGCCGTCCTGCCCTTGAAATAAATTCAAGCAGTGCAGCACTGCCTGAGCGAACTCTCTCATGAGACGCGCCGTCACGTTGATCGAGTCCAACTCCATACCGAGAAAATAGATCCTCAGCACGGGGACAGTTTTCTATTTTCCCAGTTGACCCGAAGCCCAAGATGGCTGAGGTGCCTGAGCACCAGGTCCCTGTGTTCACACAACTGTTCTCGCGAGTGGGACAGGATGACCCAGTCAACGAGATAGTTGAGAATGCGAACACCCACTTCCCTTAGCGGGGCAAAGGCAGCCTTTGTGACCTTCGTGAAAACACGGAGCAACAGGGACAGTCCGAAAGGGAGGAACTTGTACTGATATGCCCGCCCCTTGGACACAAAGCGTATGAATGGTCCGTGTCGAGGGAGAATCGAGACATGAAAGTACGTATCCTTCAGGTCGATCGATGCAAAGCTATATTGGGGGCGAACGCACTCAAAAATGCTTTCTGTGTTAGCATCTTGACCGAAAGCGCGTGAAGGACCGGATTTAAGACACGTAGATCAAGATCGGTAGTAACCCAACACCTTTCTTGGGTACAATGAAGTAAGGGCTGTAAAACCATAACTTTATATCGGCTGTAGGGGCCAACTCTGTCGCGTCCTTCGGCAGTAGGACTGCGATCTCTATAAGCAGGACAGGAGGATCTTTGTCTGCCACTGAGATAAACTGGACTACGCTGAACCTGGGGGGACGCCGGGCAAACTGAATCGCATAGCCCGAGTCTGATCATTCGAGTGAGCCAGCGAGATGGGCTGGGAAGCACTAGCTAGTGCAAGCATGACAAGGCAGAGGGCCGTGGAAATGAGCTAGGCAGGGTGGGGCAATTGCTAATGAGCGTCACCTGCGTGCCCCACTCCAGGCCTTGAGTCTCACGGAAGGAGATCCAGATGAATAAAAGGAGGAGAGATGACCAGGCCTGGGACTTTACCTTATATTTTGTTTATGTGTGTGCCCGCAGTCGTCCGTGAGGGGCTGCCACTTTACTTGGTTTTGTGTTTGTTTATTTTATGATTAACGTGTTTAAACGTTCACCGGTTCCCACCTCCTTCCCTGATCAACTAACCTTGTTACAGTTAGTTCTTGACGTAATGTCGCATGTGACTGACTGTTAGGGAACTGAGGCAGTCTCCATTTAATGATGCTCTTGATTATTATCCATTTTATTGTTTCTTTCTTTTTGGGTGGGTTGATAATATTTTTGAAAGAAGGCTCATTAAATAAGGAGATGATTGTGGACTACATAAACCAGCCAATGAAATCCTTCGTCATTCGTTCATTGTTCGTCATTGTTTGTCGCCACATCACAGATGAAAAGGGCAAAGTCTTCATATAGGATCCTTTAACTTCATTGTGATTTTTCTGTACATTTTAACACTTCCGTGTGTGGAGTGGAAGTATCATATAACAGGACAACTGTTCATCCTCAGAACTGAAAATCATCTCATAGTCTCTCATTACCTAAAGTTTGTAAGTCGGTCCTCTCACTACAGCACAGAAATAATACCTGAAGGCCATTACCTGGATTCCTGGAGGTCTCTTCTAGATCTGAAGACTTTTAGAACTGGCAGCAGTGCAAGCAATGAGACTGTCAAAAAGTCTGTAAATTCTGAGCTTTATGCAAATTGGAGAAAAAAAGCCAACCAATTGCTGTGTTCTACCATAAGTATTTCCAAATTGAATTGAACAGTTGCTGATGCAGCACTTTTTAGGAATCAGTGCATACATTACATTGCTATACTTGCTGTATTTCAAATATAGTTTGGATGTTTTCATTATAGTTAGATTTTGTTTGGGTTATCAAAATGCATTCAATTTACATCATATTTTAAAAATTAGGTATTGTAAAAATGGCCATTCAGAATTCAAGTAAGCATTATGACGTATTGAAAGTAATCATAGAGAGAACAGAAACGGAAGACAATCACGTTAACTTAAAAACTTTTTTGTTAATTGAATATATATAGAAAATACCTTAATACTAAAAGCGCATAACAAAATTAAACAAATTAAAAAGAAAACAGAAAATATAAAAAAAATAATTTGAAATATCAAAAACAACTATGATATAGTAAATAATAAATATAAGTCGTTGGCGGTGGTGGTAGTAGTAGTAGTAGTAGTTTCCTTGGCAAAAGCACTTCTGCCACAGTCCTACTCTTGATCCTACAACAGTGAAGCGTGCTTTCTTTTCTTTACCAGGGATGGGATCTTGGATGGGAACAGGCGGCTGTTGGTGTATCGGTAATCAGCTGGCTTTATCTAGACTTGTCACGCACTCAAACAGCAAATCAGAACAGGATGTGCTGGGAAAGCAAGATAAAGCACTTCATAGGGAAGGGTATATCCTACACACTTTCCTTCTATTTTAAATTCCCAATTGAGTGGCTGCGTGCAGATATGATGTGTGTAATAAAGTTAGAATGGTTATTTTTTACTACTAGTCACTATTTTCCTAGGGTAGTAGAGAGCCACTTGTTTTTATACAACATTAAATCAGGCAGTTTTGTATTAAAGACTCAAAAAATGTTTTACAGCATTTATAAAGCATTTACTATCATACAAGTCTGTAAGAATTTGATTTACACATTCATTTATATATATATATATATATATATATATATATATATATATATATACATATATATATACATATATATATATATATATATATATATATATATATATATATATATATATATATATATATATATATATATATACGCACTACATTTAATCACAAAAGTGTAAATAGTTTAGAATCTCAAATGACAGAGCTTAAATGAAGTAGAAAAATATATTTCATGTTGGTATCACATGGCCTGGGAACTAAATATTAGCAGTTCAGTAATAAACTTACATATTAATGTTTTGCAAAAAAATATATAGTAGATCTAACACAGTTCAACAGTCTAACATCACTATTACAATTCAAAAATGCATTGCAGCACTGCACAAGTCACAACACATGAGTCACAACACATACTATACAGTTAGTTAACAAACCCTGAAATTCCCCTTCAGGATTCCCCTAAAAAGGGACCCAAGGGATACAAAATGTGTATCACATTCAACTTATTACATAGATGTCCAGAATAATTTAATAGAAGACTTCCTGTGACCCACTGCAAGATTCTCCAGACTGGGAAGGAGGCTGCGGGGAACACAATGGAAGTGGACTGCGTTAAACCCACCTATGTTTATTTGGTAATTATAGATTAATGGTAAGAAGTCAGTAATAACAAGGCATCGACCTCAACAATGCTGTAGTGAGAATCAGGAAATAGTATCAAGGTACACAGGGATTAAGAGGAACAATAAAGTGCTGTAAGAATCTACAGTACAAATTTCTCATTTTATATATTGTGACGTTTACAATGCAGCACAGGGCTAGTTTGAGCTAAAGGACCCTAAGCAAACAAGGAAAAGGTACTTTAAGCTCAATGCAATCATGTAAAATATTAACAGAAAATTGTTAAAATCAACATAAATAGATAAAAGCAATTGTGTGTCTGCATGCTATAACGACTAGGAGAACTAGAATTGGTAACATACAAATCTCTCGACTAAATAATGCTATGCATGTAAATGTCTCAAAACTCTTAGAAATCAAACATGTATGAATAAAATAAGCCACCATGTAATGTTCTGTTGTGTAGCTTTTGCTTTGCTGCTCTTGCAGAGTATACCATAAATCAGTGCATTGTGTAGTTTTATTCCTCTAGCTAGTTTTGACCAGGAAAATGTTTTGCCTGAGTATATGATGTCTATAAATATATTGATATTTTTTTCACCCATGCAGATAAGATATTCTTCATTGTCCCAACCTTCATTTGCCAGAGTATTTAAGTTGTGTGCTTTGATTTCACTTCAAACTTGAGGTCTTTGTCTTTGTTCTGTAGGAGTCCGAGACATTTCTACCAAGCCGTCCAGGAGTTCTGTGCTGTCACGGAGTGTGACAGACACTTTAAAGGCTTTGGGTTTAATCGTGAGCCCATACTCATAGTCCATGCTGGGGATACTTTCTGCTGTAAAGCTACACTGATGTAGCAGCAAGGAAGTGAAGAGGAAGAGCTGTATCTTGGACAGGTCTTCTCCAATGCATCTGCGCTTCCCCAGAGAGAAGATCAGCACGTTGGTGGTTAAGTCTTTGTTGAGCGCTCCATCCTCGTCCAAGAAGCGCTGTGGGTTGAATACCTCTGGTTGATCCCATTTGGTCGGGTCATGGTTCAAAGACCATTGGTTGATGAAAATGATGGTGTCTTTGGGGATGCCATAACCATTGATGGAAGTGTCCGTGGTTGTGCTGTGGGGGATCGTTATGGGGATGAACGAGGTGAATCGCATGACTTCGTAGATGAAGGCTGTGAAGTATGGAAGATGAGGTTGGTCTGCAATGGTTGGAAGGCGACTGCGATGCACCACTCTGTCTACATCCTCCTGAAGACGTTTCTGGACTTCTGGATACCTGTAATATAAGTGAAGACCTCTTTCAGCATTTTCAACTTTCTACTGCTTGAGTTCACCCAGTCACCAGAAAATATTATGGACATTGAATGTCGATTTTGAAAACGCTTGTATTGCGAAGCAGAATATCTGTTTCATTGAGGATTTAAATGTAATTTATATCCCATATCTGTTTATATATAAATTAAGCCTAAAATCGCATCTAGTATCCTGTATGAAGCAGTCATTGTGTTGAGTTTCACAGAGTGGCCTACATGTTTAAAAGTGTTGGTGGGTCAGATTTCATTTTGTGTTTCTGTAACCTGCCCTCATTATTTGCTGCCAGTACCTGCACGGAAGAGTTACATAACACACGAAAGCTGTTGGGTGTTATTGAGATCCGCCTGTCTCTTGTGGACTCTTGTAAATCTGTAGGTTGTCGCACTGCAAAGCTATAGTTCCCCCCAAAATAAAAATGCTGTCATCACTTACACATCTTCATGTTGTTCCGAACCTGTATGAGTTTCTTTCTTCTGTTGAACACAAAAGAAGATATTTTAAAGAATGTTGGTAACCAAAGAGTTGATGGTAGCCATTGACTTCCATAGTAGGAAAAAAAAAACATACTATGGAAGTCAATGGCTACGGTCGTCAACTGTCTGGTTACCAACATTCTTCAAAATATCTTCATTTGTGTTCAACAGAAGAAAGAAACTCATACAGGTTTTGAACAACACGAGGGTGAGTAAATTATGACAAATGTATAATTTTTGGGTGAACTATCCTTTTAAAATGCTGCAGCTAAATAAATAAATAACAATGCTATAACAAACCCATAATTTTCTTTTTCTTTTTTCTGGGCAACATAAGGAGATGCATTGCAACGGCTCTTTTTCATGCAATAATTGTGGTTATTGATTGATATAGTGTCAAGCAGACTATACTGAATAAATCATGTTGCTTTTTTTTTTGCTTTTTGGAGCTTCACAGTATAAATTATTGTCCACTGAGCAGATTGAACGTCCAGCAATATTTCTTCTTTTGTTCCCACAAAAGTAGTTTGATGTTATTTTAAAAATAATGTTATACTTATTTAATTATATAATTTGTTAATTTTATTCATTTAAAAATAAAACAATATATAAAAACTAAAAAAAAAAAAACTGTAAGTAGCAATAAGAGTAAATTACGTCATGTGACCTATCCCTTTAAGTATTACATTTATGGTAGACAAAAAAATAATTTACCTGACTAGTAACAGAATGATCCACTGTAGAGCTGTAGATAGAGTGTCTTGACTGGCTCCAAAAATATCTGACATGGTCGATGGCACGAACTCCTTATCCAGAAAGACCCCCGGCCCCCCTGACAGCCCTTTATCCAGAGCTACGATGAACGCGTCAGTCATGTCACGGACGAGGCTCAATGAAATAGTCTTGCGGTGCTCCACCACTTTGGAATGAATAAACTCGTAAAACTCCGTGTTGAGTGCTTTAAACTGGGCAAAGAGAGTTTTGATGGGGTTTGGGAAGTACTGCAGCCAGGGCATCACATCCACGATGCTTCCAGCTCCGACTGTCTTGGTAAACTGATCATTTCTGCCCACCACCTGCTGGAACTCCGCATCATCAAACGAGTACCGGTTCCCGAAGCACACGGCGCTCATGGTGTTCGCCACCGACACCACCAAATACCGATGCGGTTCGAAGAATTGCTGCTCGCGAGTTTTAGTCAGAAACAAACGGATGAGCTCTCCGATCTCGCACACGATGTGCTTCTCAAACGTTTGTTTGGTGTGGATGTTGGCTGTGGAGAAATTTCTCATGGTGCTTTGGGCGATCTTTCGATGCAGTTTCCACCACTGGCTGTAGTTACCGAATGCCATACTTTTCCCACCGGACACGAACCGGAACGAAGCGAAGTCGGGTCTGCCGGCAAAATCGACGGCTTTTTTTATAAGCGCCTCTTTAATCGAGTCTCCGTTCAGAACCACCACGTCTCGGCTGCCAAGTTTGATCTGAAACACGTCGCCGTATTTCTGGGCCATCCGAGTGAAGAAAAAGTGAGGACAGGTACCGAGCTGAGCGGCGTTACCGATGACCGGCCATGGGAACGGACCCGGTAACTGACACCGACCGGGTCGCCGCCAGAACATGAGCGTTAAACACACCAGCAGAGATAGCAAAGCACTCCGCGACGAAAGCTGAATGAAATCACCTACAGTCGCAAGGAAATCCATTTTTGATATATTTGCAAGCCTCGAAATCAAGGCAGAATCACTTTGAAGTGGTCAAACAATTTACCCTGTTGAGCATCAGATCACTGAAGTTTCCAGCGCTTGCGGCGTGTCTGAGTGATTCATGTGAAATTATAGATTGGGATAAAGTTAGAAGTGTTGGGATGGTTGGTCTAAGATGAAATGAGTTTATCCAAGAATTGATCCACGACTAAATCACACCACTGAGTCTCCTCCTTTACACACACACACACACACACACACACACACACACACACTCTCTCTCTCTCTCTCTCTCTCTCTCTCTCTCTCTCTCTCTCTCTCTCTCTCTCTCTCTCTCTCTCTCTCTCTCTCTCTCTCTCTCTCTGAATGCGTGACTTCAACTGCTGTGTATTTTGAACTCTATCTATCTATCTATCTATCTATCTATCTATCTATCTATCTATCTATCTATCTATCTATCTATCTATCTATCTATCTATCTATCTATCTATCTATCTAACGTGAAAAAATGTCATCATGCTGTTTAAAAAAAGTAACACAACCTTGTAATAGTCATTTTAATTCACCAAAGAATTACTGAAATTACGGAATATTGCAAAGAAAAAACGTGGGCCTACATATGTTGGGCTAAATTTGCAGTGAAACTGTTTAACAAGGCAACACGTGTAGCTTACTTCTAGGGCAAAATAAATTATATTTTATCGTCTAAATCTAGTTATCCACTGAAATGGGTTAATATTTTTTTTTTGCTTAATTCAAAGAAGTTATATGTTTTGAAAATTGTAATGGGGATGCTTTAGTTTTCTCGTGTTTGCAACTTCAGTACCGTGCAAGTCAGAACAGATCGTATAAAGAATGATGATGTATGCTGAAACTGTAGATCAAAACTAATATTTGACAGGACAATATAGTGTACTTCCTTCATCACTGTGGGAAATACAATAGAAAAGATAACAAGTGATGGAAAATTATGCAATGGTGGAGATTTTTGATAGTATTTTCCTCTTTCTCTGTTTCCACCTGTTGCCACTAGGAGGACCACATTCCCAACCAGAGCCAAATTATATGACACTTAAATTAAGTAGGCCTAATGAAGGGAAAATAAAGAGCTCCATTTATTTGTTTGTAATTCTACAACTTGTGTCGTCCGTATTTTGTATTTAAAGTCTTACTTGGGATGCAACATTATAGGCCTACTTCAACAAATGTAAGGCTATACCTGTAACTTTATGTCTTATTATAAATGTAATTAATTCATATTTACAATAAAAAACTATGATTTTTTTGTCCAAATAAATCGTATATGTATTTTTCTTACAGGAGGGCAAACTCCGTTTCACAATGTTTGATATGAAAATATGATGATCACGATCCACTGTTTTCACAAAGCAGATGCACAATTTCAAAGTGTGCTTAAACAGCTCGGTTAATGTGTTCCGAGTGAATCATCTTTGAAAATCGATTCAGAATTGCTTCTTCTTCTTTTTTTTTGGACTATTTTGAGGTTTTTTGTTTAAAACGTGCTATATAAAAATAAATATGCCTATTATAAAATATTATTATAATTATATACATTATAATAACATCATTATTATTATTATAAAAGAGACACATTTCATATAAAGATATATTCATAAAAAAAACTAAATACTTATCTAAAAGTATGCCGAATTAGTCCAGCGGAATCTCGAGAGTTCAGTACCACGGACAGCGCGCGTGCAGCGCGCACTGATCACGCCATGACACGTCAAATCACTTAACAGGTTTTATTGATCCCCAGAAGAACGCTGACTCTTTACAGCAATCAGGACTTGACAACTTCAAATGGGCTATTATAAATAATAAAATACGATAAAATAGTAGGCCTATAGGCCTACATGTGCATCAATAAGTGGCTATGTGCACAACACACCTTATTACATTCCATTACATTCCACATTTTAAAATGCTGCATATTGATACGCAAATATTGCAAGGTTGAATTATTATTTCATTTTGTTATTAAAATATTGTGTTAATTATCTGTCAATGCGGCAGTGACATCATTGACGTTTTGTATTTGGTTATTTGTATTTGACGTTTTAACAGATGTAGTAGGCCAGTGATAACATGATAAGGTGATAAGGATTCTTTAATCCTTAATTTTATAACATTAAAAAGAAAAGAAGAAAAAAAGAAAGAATCGAAAACCATACCTGACAGGCAGTGGCCTATCCATTATCCTTTTTATGTGTCAGAGCGGAAGAGAGGCTTTCGGGACCGCGCGTAAACGTCACATCTTTTTGATTTTCCCGGTGAAAACGAACCCGAGTCCTTCACGATTTGCTAGACAACCGGCTTTCATAGACAAGGAAGTCGGGGAAGGTTACTTTTTTAAGTTTTGTTTGAAGCTGTTCACACGTTGGCAATAAAAAAGCGATTAATACATGAACATTTTCCATAGGCCCATTCCGATCTGTTAACATTAGTTAATGCACTGTGAATTAACATCGATATCAACAATTTAATATCAATAAGAAAGGTTAATAAATTCTGTAAGCATATATTGCTCATGACGCGGACACACACACACACACACACATTGATTTATTCATCAAAATCATCATTAATTCAATTCATATTCATTCAAAATATACTTTTAACCTTTTTTTCTTTTATTACAAATAAATCTGGGGAACTATATTTATGCTAAACATACACTTATAGTTTTTGATCGCTGTGATGTATCATAGGCTATCTTTTTGCAACAACATAATTCCAGGTAGAGATTAATTTTATTTTATAAATTAGATTCAGTGCTTCTGTTTCTTTTAGTTATAGTCTCTGCACAGTTGACCTTTTTGGGAAAATTGGAAAATTTTGACTTATGGTCACCCTCCGAACAAACTCTGGACCCCCAGGCCTCTTTACTGTCTCAAAGACCAATGCTGGCCATGCTGAGACAGGCCCTGACAGACGCAGGCAACACTTTGCTGCAGTCCAGGTGTTTCCAGGTAATTGTAAAGCAGTTTGTTGTCATTTTTATGTCCATGTTTTATATAGAGCTGGTGTCAGTTTGACAGACTGCATCCTGTGGAACTCTAAACATACATGTTCTATATATATCCTTAAAGGATTCTGCCAGGCGCTTCATATATAGAACCTTTTAGGGGTCCTAATAATGAGATTATTTTATGGATTTAGTTTTAATTAGCCAAATTAATTTTGTTTTAATTAATTTTTTCATTTTAATTGAATTTTATGAATTAAAGAGAATGTAAACATATATCACTAGAAAAGATTACATAAAAAACCCATTAAACTTGAATGTATTATGCAATAATTTAAGACAATTCTCCTCATATGCAACCTTATTGGCATAAAGGTTCTGTAAAACTCAGCCAAGAACCCTAGTACTAGTAAAGGGTTATATATAGACCCTTTAATGATAATAATAATAACAATAATAACAACAACAATAATAAATTATTTAAAATAATTAACAATATGGCCAAAACATGATTTAAAACTAGTAAGATTAAAATCTTAGATGATCTAATAACTTGAAAAAAAATATGGTGCATGAGTCAATTATGATACAAATATTTGGTAACACTTTACGATAATGTTTTGTTTGTTAACATTACTTAGGGTGTATTCACACCAGGAAAGTCCGATTGTTCACTTGCTTTGGTCCGGACCAAATACATATTATTATTTTTTTGGTACGGTTCGTTTTCACACTGCTCTTTTTGCAAGTGAACCAAAATTTGTAAACAAAACCACACGTATGCTAAAGTCGTCCATTCATTGGACAAGGATTGTCAAGTAGGGAAATCAGGAAGTGCAAAAAAGGCTTAACGTAAATTAACGCAGCATCATCCTTGTATTGTAACTATCGTTACATTATATGAACTGTAAATGCTTTTTTTGCATCTATGCGCGATTTGACTAAAGAGAACGCTCTGAATGTGAATGTCCTGATGCACACACTCATTCATTCATTCCATTCCAATGATGCACACACGACGCGCGGAAAGACGCGCAACAGATGTAATGTAGTTGGCTACAACAGATCACTTTCCCATAACGCAACTCCGACTACGGAAGCCTGTTAACTCAAAGGCGCAGTGCTTTCTTGCAATTGGGTCGGTTCATGTTCACACCGTAAACGAACCGTACCAGAGTTCGTTTGGAACCGTACCGAGACCACCTCTTCAGCTGGGTCTCGGTTCGGTTGTTTGGTCCGCACCCGAGTTCGATTGCTGTATTCACACCTGCCCAAAAGGTCCGCACCAAGGGGGGAAACGAACTAGAGTTCGATTCAATCCAACCAAACAAGGCAGGTGTGAATACACCCTTAACTACATTAACTACATTAGTTAACGTTAATTAAGAATGAACAGTGATTCTACAGCATTCATTAATCTTTGTTAATGTTAATCTCAACATTTACTAATCCATTTTTACAGGGGCTATATGTACGTAGAATTCAGAAACCATTGTTATTAGTGACACCAGTGGCCATTAAAGGACAAGTTTGGTATTTTACACTTAAAGCCCTGTTTTAAGATCGTTTCTGATGAAATAGAAAGGTTAAGATTGAAATTTGGACACATGCTACTGGCCCGATAATTTTCGGTTTCTGTGGTTGACCACCTCCACAATGGTTGCATAGGTGCATTGGAACAATCCTTCATAAAACGCATTAAACTTTAGTATAATCTCTCTATTAGTGTTACTTGATCTTAGTGCTGCATTTGATACTATTGACCACAACATTCTTTTCAATAGACTCGAAAATTATGTTGGCATTAGTGGAGTTGCACTACCATGGTTTAAATCATACTTATCTGACCGTTATCAGTTTGTAGCAATAAATGAAGATATGTCTTTTCGATCACAAGTTCAGTATGGCGTACCACAAGGCTCAGTACTAGGACCGTTGCTGTTCACTCTGTACATGCTACCCTTAGGAGATATCATTAGGGAACATGGAATTAGTTTTCACTGTTATGCTGATGATACTCAGCTCTATATTTCTTCACGCCCCGACGAAACTTACCAATTCACAAAATTAACGGAATGCATAGCCGATATAAAAAATTGGATGACTAGTAATTTCCTACTACTAAATTCTGAAAAAACAGAGATTCTAATTATTGGACAAAAAACTTCCACACGTAATAACCTAGAATACTGTCTAACACTTGATGGCTGCTCTGTTAAGT